GTGGGAACTGGTGTGTGACAGAAGTCAGGTCAGTCCTTTCTGTGCACGTGATGGGGCAGGATATGGAAACTGTGGAGGCCACAGCACGGGGACAAAGAATCCTTTTCTTAAGCAAAGTTTGATGAGTGAGAAACAACCACCCAGCTCACTTTCCTTGGAATATCCCACAAAAGCTACATTTTATGAAGAGTTTCTTATTTTGATGAAAGTTCCATTTATAAGTAGCAGCCAGTACCTCACTGCCTATCTCATTCTACATGTTCTACATGTTCAGAATTCAAACAGTTTAAGATCAGTTTTTCTAGCAAGGGCTCAAAAGACAAAGTCACACAGACAGATGAGTGTGTCATCCCATGAGGAGACAGCTGACTTCCATGATTTTCCTCCTTAGACAGAGGTCCACATCTACTGGACCGATGCCACTGGACATGGCCACATTCATGTTTTTGTTTAAAGAGGAAGTGAGAATAACGTGGAGGGGTCACAGCAGGACTTCACTGAGGCTCATTTGTGGGCAAGGGACAAGGGAGGAAGGATGTCATTCCAGAGAGGCTTCGTGCTTCTGCACCCGAGGAAAGCATACTCTTGAGATCGGAGATCACCTTGGCCCTGAATCTACTATGGCAAAGTGGTGTTTGCCGATGTCCAGGTGGCAAGAACTCCAGAGCGGAAGCAAGGACAGGGGCTTCTGGGTGTGCCCTGCTGTCCTGGCAAGTGATAGAAGATGTGGGAGGAGGATGAGCGTGTGTACAGAGGGTCCTATGCTGGTCTCAGTAGACAGACTGTTACTCGGGAATGTTTTGCTGCCTGCGCCAAGTGTGGCCAGGACCAGTGTTTCAGGAATTCTCAGTTCCAGGAGGAATTAGAAGGGAGAGGGCAGCATGTGAAGGAAGGCGAGTTGACACCTTGTCTCCTTCGAGGCAAGGTGGATGCTGCCCAGATTCCTGCTGACCCTGAGGCTGCTTCTTACCAAACTGTCCTGAGTACTAGGACCATTTGATAATGGGAAAGTCCAAGCACAGAGTCCAAAATGACGTGAGAATTTTGCCAGAAAGTATCATTCATAGTATTCACCCTGGGAAGTGGTGTTTGGGGGTGATATTTTCATTTCATTTCTTTTCATTTTGTGGTAGGGGAGCTAATAACTAGGTTTCTTAGTTGTTCTTCTTTCATTGCTGAGACAAAATATCTAATACCTAAAGTTAAAGTTGTGAGCAGTTTTACTCCATATTTGGTTTGCTCCAAAGCAGGGTGGCACATGACAGAGGGCATTACAAAGGAGAAGTAGTTCATGGCTGGCAGATGGCAGCAAAAGCAGCTAACAATAACAGACAAGTGATGACCAACCCTCTTTTTGTCTCCTGTATTTTATCCAGGCTATGTGCCCTTAAAGCAGGTAGCACTCACAATCCAAAGTGGGGCAGTCTTTATCCTATCATAACACCATGAATCAACTCCAGCATCACATCACTGATCCAGCACCACACACCCAAGAATCTGCCACTTCCAAAGCCCCACCTATGACCATATGAGGCTTTGAGGGACCTCTAGATGCAAGCCATATACTCTGTTTTCTCTTCAGATCACATAAATCTTTTACCTTTTTTAGATGCAAGCCATAACCAATCAAAGAAAATGTGATATATGTATCACATATTGTGCACATATATATATGTACACAATCAAGTACTCCTTAGACATAAAAGAAGATCAATTGGAATAATCTGTAGGAAAATGCATGTACCCTTAGGCCATAATTCTAAGTGAAATAAGTCAGGCACATAAGGTTAAATATCACATAGTTTCTCACATACTAAAATCCTAAATTATAATTATTTAAAGAGCAAAATAAAAGAGGATAGGAAAGGGGGAGGTAGACCTTTTGCACATAGAAAGGGGACTTAGGGTAGATAGAGAAGGGAGGGAGGAGAGGGAAAGGGAAGTAGAAAGGATTAAGTGTGATATGTATCTGTACCAACTCCATCTGATGAACGTATTCACTGTGCACAATTTTAAAGGAATTTCCCCAAGTTATATCCACTTGAAGTCCCTCAAAATCTGGATCTGAGGGTGTCATTGCTTGCAGAAGAAAATATGTTATGAACATGGGGGTGGGAGGGCCTCTGATGGCCAAAACAAGGCACAACATGGGGTTGCAAATGCTCCTACTTCCCCTCCTTGTATTATGCCCATGAGTATGATAAATGCATTCATTGGAAATGAAGCTCTTCAAGAGCAAAGAGCATGTGTTAAACTTGTCCAGTTGTGCACTGCATGATCCTCAAAGTAACTTGCACAGGAAAGCATACCAACTTACTAAGAATACTTCTTTTTCCTGTTGGAATTCCAAGATAATCATATTTTCTTTTTACTTGAACGCACATGAAAGTTTTACGGACAGTCCAAATTCTGTGGAGGAGTTAGTCATAAACGCTAAACGGCCTCCGTGGACATACTATTACAACAAAAGTAAAACATGTTTTCAGAACACAGCAATGACTTAAGCTTTGGCCACCAGCCTTCTTTCAAATAATTATCCATTGGCTATGTCCCTAGTTTTATTGAAATAAAATTTTAAATACAGGAAGATATCTGGCCTGATGTAAGACTATTGTTAATTTAAGAACCATTAAATGTAACTCATTGTTTTCTAGTGTCTTATATGTTTGTTCTAAAGGTTTGTCTAGAAAATGCCGCTTAGGAAAGGGTAATGTAAAGTTACTTGGGAGGGAAATATTTGAATTAGACTGTTTGTCCTGGCCTTTCCAAGAAGCCATTAAGGTTTGAGGTTCTTTTTTTTTTTTTTTTTTTTTTTAGTTTTATGAATAATCTTTATTTTTTAAAAGTTAGTATGTGTGTTACAGAAAAAAACCCACAACAGCCTAGAATCTTTGACCTTTGGAAAGAATTCAGATAGCTTCACTGGACAGCCATGTTGGATATTACTTTTCTTGTCTCAGAATAGTCTGTAGCCTGAGGCGTGCTCACCAGCCCATGCAAGGGTGTGGGCAATCCCGGAGGTAGGTTTCATAGCGATTGTTTGTAACATCAATCAAGGTTGTGAATACAGTCAGCTTGTTGAGAACAGGTTTTGTTGATAGAATATCATATAAGGTCGCAAACGAGAGATTCTCTTGGGTGGTGTGATTCAGACACATCTGTGCAGGTGTTCTGCCATCTTCATGGAATAAGGGGGCTTTCCACCAGTCATAATTTGTTTGTACCAGAAACCATCTATCCTGCTTAGGATTCAGTTCATATACATCCAAAGAGTCTTTTCTTTCTCTTGTAATCACACATCCTTTCCCAGAACCATTACCTCCTAGAATAAAGTACACTGGGACCAATAACTCGGTTTTGGTCAGTATTTTCTTGGCTTTTTCATAACTTGCATCATTTTCCAGAATTGATCTAGTGATAAACCCTATCCACATGGCATCTCTCTTTCCCAAAATCCACTCGAGAACTCCCAGAAAACCACCATGTATGCTGAAACGTTCATTTATTGTGAGACTAAATAGTCCTGGTTTGAACCCTGTTAACGTGCCCACGTAGCCAGCAAAGCTTGTAGCCTTGAAGACAGTTTTATTATTTCTTTGGAAGTCCAAATTCACTGATAAAGGTTTTAGTTGCTCAGTTATGACTGACTTACTAGTATTTATGTTCCGCCCAAAAGATATTCCAAAATCCAGGTTTCTGACATGTAGTAGATGACCTTTCTTGTCTTCAGTTATTATTGAGGTGCACATAGTAAACAATTCATAAAAAATGTTGAATGAAATAATCTCTCCTAAAGGTATCTTAGTAACATCTGCAATTCCCCTCATTTCCTCTTCATAAGGACTGGGAAACTTGCCAAGCAGTTTAGGCAACTTTTGATCCACCATCTGTATAACTTTTCCACTTGGTGCAAGTGTATTTATTATACTCTTCATGGAATTCATTATACTCTTTAGCACTGGTCCCTTACTAAGCATTAATTCATGCCATCTTTTATAGGGTGGTAAATCAAGTTTTATGGTATACCACGGAACTGGTCCTCTATAGGTTGGTCCAGAAGGAGGATATGTTGATTTTGCGCAGTCTTCTGTCCACAGTGACGTGTGGTATGTCCCAGTGCAGGGGATGGCCATGGCCAGGAGGACAAATGTGAGGTGACATGGGCCCAGCATCCTCCCAGCGGCCAACACAGCTCCTAAAGACTTCCTCAGAGGCAGCAGGAGGCCTCACCTGGGCATGGAGGAGGCCATCGAGGCCACACTTCTGGCCCAGGTTTGAGTTCCCTGTTGGGTTTTATCATACACTGAAATTCTCAGTGAGATTTCCCTAGAGACTGTGGTTACTGGTTTAGAGAGGTGAAGGTCTCACTCAGGTAGAATCTTTGGCTGTTTCTGGAATGTTTTCATCTGACAATTCTAGGCGACATTGTTGCATCATTAAGTAACTGCAGTTTGATCTCTTCTAGTCTCTTGGGAAGATATCCAAACAAACCAGATTCTACCATCTGTGGCCCCTGTTTGTGTTTGCTGTTGGCCATGTCACCTCTCCCAGCACATTATTTTCATTTTTCATAGGGTCTCTTCGTGTTCTAGAATGAACCCTGGGTCCAGAAGCTATGGCATTCATTATTCTAGGATTCTAAGTATAGAAATCCTCAGATAAATGTTAAAGGACTGGATTAATATTGGTAGCAGTTCTCTCAAACTTAGGAATCTTCTTCAGCTTATTGTATCTGTACTGACTTCAAATGTTTTTGGAAAATTTCTGGGAAGAAATAGTGTTTAAAATTATATATTATTTGTCATAAAAGTAAAATTTTGCTAGTATTAACAATTTCAGACCATGCCAGAATGTATAATGTATATTCTCCCATACCAAAGCTTTCAATTGTAATTTTCATGTGACCAAAAATTTCAGTGATTCTCCCATATCAATCATTTTCAATAGCTGCATCATTTTTATTATTAATAGAAAGCACTTTAATTTATTTAACTAATCCCTTGTGAGTGCTTAGCACTCAGGTTGCTTCTTTTTCTCCTTTTATTATGAATAATATTGTTTTGGGAAGTTTTGCCCATAGATATTTGCACATTTCTCTTATTATTTCCTTATTTCCATAATATTTTAATACTCATTATAATGGCAATATATGTTTATTATAAAAATTTGTGAAGTAAGAAATAATACCTTTATCTAAGGCAATTGGGACCAGCAGATGATTGGCTAAATGAAAAATTGGTAAAACAATTATTTAAAAAGGTGAATTTAATGTAAGATACAGACAATTACAATGCTATTTAAACTGCTCCAGAGCATAATAAAGTAAATAACTATCCAAATTATTTTATATGAAGCCAACATAACATTGAAAACTATATGCAACAGGGGCTGGGGATTTAGCTCAGTGGCACAGCGCCTGCCTGGCAAGTGCAAGGTCATGAGTTCGGTTCCCGGTACCGGAAAAAAAAACAAAAAAAAAAAAAAAGAAAACTATATGCAGCAATAATTTCACAAGCAATCATGGGCCGATTGTATTTTCTTTATGAACATCAGTACAATAAGCCAACATAAAATATTAGTAACCAGAGTTTAGTAGCACATTAAAGAACATCATTAGCAATTAGGATTTATTCCAGCAATACAAGAACTATTCAAAATTGAGAAATTTATTATGCTACAGTGCATAATGCGAGGAGCTGGGGCTGCAAAATGAAGAGGCTCCCGCCCTCTGGGGCTGGCAGCTGCTGTGAAAGGTGAGTACTTAGAGGGCTGCAGGGTCAGCCCCCTGCTGGAGAGAGAAAGAGCAGCAAGAGCACGGAGAGTTTGGCTCACCGATCAGGACAAGCTTCAGTGCAGCTGAAGTGTATCACGGATGCTATTAGGAAGGATGAGCTGGTGCTTGGTATAAAGAAAATGTTCGCTCTCCAGCACGAAACCAAATCAAAGAAAAACCCAGTGTATTACTGTTTTGCAGTTTCTCTTTTGTTTGTTGTTGCTTTGGTGTTTTGAATCAGGGTCTCACTGTGTAGTACAGGCTCATCTTGCACTCTCTATGTAGCCCAGGTTGCTTTCAAACTCTTGATCATCCTGCCTCAGCTTCCTGAGGCAAACTTACCAATCTTTAAGAGCTTGATGATACAGGAATTGACAAAGGTGTGCGGTAAATTACAACTTTTCTGCCCTCTTGATTGGAAGATAAATTGGTATTGGAGAGCAGTTTGGCAATGTTTAATAAAATCAGTGGACATACTCTACAAAAAACCAACTGCATTAATAGGTACATACCCTAGGAAAACTCCTGCATACGTACATAGGTACTCTTACAGCAGTATTGCTGTAGTAAAATTTTGGCTATAATCTTTACATTCACCAATAATAAAATGGTTAAACAAATTGTATATTGGAACAATGGAATATTATGTAGCAATGAATAGGCATGAACTAGAACTACAAATATCAATATAGATGAACTTCACAAACAAATGTAAAAGGAGTTCCACAATGCATGCATGTACCTAGTTTTCAGTGCACAGAGCTTGTGTATTTTTGGTTTTTTTCTGGTACTGGGAATCGAACTCATGGCCTACGCTTGCCAGGCACGCGCTGTGCTGCTGAGCTAAATCCCCATCCCCCGAGCTTGCATATTTTTGTCAAATTACCCCTAGGTATTTATATTTTTGTGCTACCAAAATGGTAGTTTTTAAAAATTCAATTTCCAGTTTTTTTCTGGTAGCACATAGAAATACATCCAACAGCTTTACACTAATTTTGCATACTGCAACTTTGCTAAGAGCATTTATTCCAACAGGATTTTGGGTAGACCCCATCAGATGTTCCACTTGTGAATAAAGACTGGTTGACTTCTTGTTTGAATGTGGATTCCTTTCCCTGCTTTTTTCTTGTCTCCAGCCTTGGTTTGAACCTCCCATACAAAGCAGAATGGAAGGTGTGAGAGTGCATGGCCCTGGCTTGTTCCTGATCATAGGGAGGAAGCACGTAGTCTTTCACATTCGGCAATATCATCAGCTCTGATGATATTTGATATTTGCATATGCCCTTTAACCCTTTGGGAAAATTCCCTTCTGTTCCTAGCTTTGGAGATTTTTTATTTTGAAAGTGTGTTGAATTTTGTCAAATGCTTTTTCTGTATTAAAGAAATGAACATTGTTCTTTCATATGATCATTGTTCTTTTATATGATCATTGATTTTCATGTTATTTTCAAATGTTAAATAACTCTTGCATTCTTGGAGGAAATTTCATTTGGTAAAGGTGTACTGTCCTTTTTCTGTAAAGGTGCATTCAAACTGCTGAAGTTTAGGAGTTGTTGTATCTATATTCATGAGGAATATTGGCTATGGGATTTTTTTTTAAAAAATAATGTCTTTGTGTGGCTTTGGCTGCAGGAGAATGCTATCCCATAGAGTGAGTTGGGAGGTAGTTTCTCCTTTTTAAGTTCCTTGAAGGGTTTGTGTAGAATCAGCATTATTTCTACCTTAAAGGTTTGGCTCTGGATTTTCTTTACAGGAAAGTTTCCAACTGCACATTCCATTCCTTTCATGGCCTGTAGCTGGTGGTGCACACCAATCCCCGAGGCTGGACAGGGAGGGCCGACACGCAGGCAGCTGGGAAATCCCAGCTGGGTCTGCCTAGGACTGGAGCACGGGGCCCTCCCAGTATCTGGCCTGTGCCCCTACTATTTGATGGGGCCAAGGCAGGCCCCACTGGGAACTTCCTGGGATGGCTTGGTCCTCCGCATCAGTTTTAGACTTACACTAATTTTTCCAGTGATACCCTCCTCTACACTTTGTACAAAGACCGGAAGATTTTGTTGAAGAGACAGATAATGGCTGTGTTGCTTTTACAGACGCAGCAGAGCAGTTTTGGGTAAAATGTACTTTGTGCCCACAATAGAAACAAGCAGCCTTGTTTTTTTTTCTTCCTTCTAAGCTGTGAATGAATAACCTGAGGGACAGCTGCTGCAAAGGCAGCCCCTTGCACATATGAGGAATTAATATCTGCACAAATCTGAAGACATATTATTTGTCTAGGATCATTGGGAGCTTGAATTTTAGTACAGTCCTCCTCCCTATATCACAGTTCAGTTATTGCTGTGCCACTGTATTGCAGTTTTTCTTTTTTTAAAATATATCTAATTCTGTGCTATGGAGTTTTTGCAGGATTTTTTGCAGGATTTTGCAGTATATAGGTATTTATATAATATTTATGATTTTAATTATTTTTGCCTAAAAAATTTAAAACAATATAAAATTTTAAAATTGTTAATTCAAACATACTAAAAGAATATTAAATTGAAATAAAATTCTCTACAGGATGTATTTCATCAGCAGATGAATACCATACTGTACACAATGGAAATGCAGTACACCACTACTGCCAGCCTAAGCCTGGCCATTCAAGTGGACCTGCACCAGGTGGGTGCTGCTTATAGGCGAGGAGGGCGTGTGGCACCACCCCTGGGCCCTGCCTGTGCTATGAGCTGGCCTGGGTGGGGCGAGTGGAATGGGCCAGGCACTGGGCGAGTGGTGTGGGCTAGGTACTTGGCTTGCTGGTCTGCAGCTGCAGCTCAGCTAGGTCCCATGCACCCTGCTCCCTGACCCACTTGCCCTCTGTCCACACCTGCCCCATTCTCCCTTCTTGTCCTTGGAGCTGAGAGGCTGATTTACCTGGGCATCCCCAGGAGCGACCCCAGCTGGAAGTTGAGGCTTTGGGAAGGCATGCAGGAGTGTGGGAAGGGTTTATAGGAGTGTGGGAAGGGTTTCTAACGCCTTAAAATGTATATAAATAATAAAATAAATGTAACACTGCTACTTTGCAGATTTTCACTTATTGCGGGGACTCCCGCAATAGGTGAGGGATCACTGTAACAGGGTAGAGGCAGTGAAAACCCTTCATGGACTCTCCTGCCCATCTGTCTTCTTTTAGTGCCAATTGCAAGCAAGATAGAGAAAGCTGTGCTATTGATTGAGAGCCAAAGTTCCAACCTGTGATGCAGCAAAATTTCTCTGAGCTGAAAAAGCCAGGATTGCTTCCTATGGCTCAGTTAAATGTATTGGGTGCTGTGAAATGGAATTCAAGGGGAAACACGTCTGTAATGGGAAAAGGTCCCTTTTGTCCCCTACCACTCCTTTCTTATTAGGTTGAACAAGGCTAGAGGATTCAAGCTCTATTGGCGGTGCTGTTGCTCTGCTCTCCTTGTCTCTCTCAGGGTTGGGACTTCATGTTAAAACAGAGCTCTGAGCTGAATCCTTTGGGGTCACAAAACTTTCTAACCAAAATCCAGGAAAGGAAGGTAAATATAGCAATCAAGCATGTCAAAAACACTTTCATACACATATTTATCTAGCTCTGTGATTCT